CAACATCAAATAAAAGATCTGCTGTCAATATATTTGCTCCAGCATACGTTTCTTGGGTCCAACACTACAGTGCTTTTGGCATAACCACACATGGATAAATCAGCATGAAGGTACTGAGGAAGACTCTGGTTTTAAAGTGTGATGTACTGATGTCACTGAGCAGCAGTCCTGTGGTTGAGAAGGTTTATTTTGAGTAACTGCTGTTTCAAAACCAGCCTCTATTTTTACATTTTCTCCGGGAAACACACAGTACTGAGGATAATGCTCCTGATCAGAATTTCCGACTGGTGTGATGAAACTTTCCTTAGTCATAAAAGCAGAATCCCTGGTGGAACCTGTATTTTATTTTCCAATGAATTTACTCCTCTTTTGATTGCCATTAATAAAGTAATTGCAGGTCACACTACATAAAATAAAAAAAAAGATGTTTTTATAAATGTGTGTGCTCCAACCTCAATTCCATTGTTTACTATGGCCATTTCCACATTATTTTTTTCTACAGACTTTTATTATTGGTTTCAAATGCAGTAAAAAAAAAGGAAACTTATCTTTGAGTTAGTATTCACATGAAGCCATTTTTTAATTGTTTCTTGATTTATAGAAATGTTTTGTTGTATTTTGTTTAAATAACTGCTTCAGTGAATAACTGATCTCTCTCTCTCTATACGGTATACGGGTGGGTCTGAGGATGCAGAATGACTCCATCGTGCTGCTCATTAGGTTGTCTGAGGTTTTTCTGAGGAACTGCTACCAGCTCGGGTCAGGAGCACCTGACTCACCACTCCTCACTGAAGGAGTTCAGTTTAGCTGTTGGATAGTTGATCGGGTGTGGCATTGCAAAATGAGGCTCCGGCAAGATACTGAGTAGCTAAACCTACACGCTAAGAATAATATAATTATGGGTGATTTAGCAGAGTGTGCTTTGGATAAAGCATGTTAAGATTGGTGGTGAATGCTAAGTAGAAAACACAACAAAAAGGAAAAAGAGATAGAAAGCATAGACAAAAGTTTCTTGCATTAATGGGTGAATGAGTCATGTTGTGTAAAGTGCTTCAAGTGCTCAAGTACAATAAAAAAAAGTGCTATGTGAAAACCAGTCCATTTACAATCACTCTGCTATTAAAATCATGCTTCTTGGTTGCAAATCTCCTTGCTTAAAACATTGTTTTCTCCTTTAAAATACAGGTTTTAATGACTCTCACGGGGGATAAAGAATTGAGCATTGCTTTTCAAGGTTGAATCGATAACTTTTACTTTGTTCTGCATATAGTATCTGAAAATATGAAATGCTTCAGATGCGGGATGGGGGAGCATCCCAAGTAGAGACAGCTGAACAAGTAGGTAACAAACAGATGAATGTAGACATGGAAAAAGGCACAAGGTAAGTGTTAAAAAAGGAAAAGAGTGAAAAGATGAAAGAACTTTTTTACATGCAACGTGGTGAACAGTATTGGTCAAGTTACTT